ATCCATACTATGTTGATGACATGAAGTCAGTTTTTGAAAGAAGTTTGTTAAAAATCTGTCATTAAGTTTATGGATTTATCAAATTTAGGTGCCGGCTATATGAAAAATAGTCTATAAGGAACATGAATGGAAATAGTTGGAAGGCTGGTACACTGGTTCAGGTGAGAAATGACAGTAGCTTGGCCTAAGATGGTAAGAATGTAGAGAAAAAAGGAAAGAGAGAAATTAATGCTGATTCCTAGGTTTCTGGCTTGGGTAACTGGATGAATGGGGGTATGGTTCACATATATGGACGGCCACTGACCAGGGATTTTAACTTGAGCAAATTACACAAATTCTCTGGCCTCAGTTTTCTTCTTTATAAAAATGGGTATAATAATCGATTGTATTTCATAGGGTTATTGTGACAGTGAAAAGAGTTAATATATGTAGAGTACTTAGCACCATAGCTAAATAACTCTTCTATATAAGCTTTTATTATTACCAACTAGCATATGGTTAAAGAGGTGAGGGTTTGGGTTTGAGGTGGGAAATCAAGATTTCCTACTGAGGCTCATTATGTTTGAGTTGTTTTGGAATTTATCTTTCAATAAATAGGGTGTGAATGATCTCAGTAAACACTGCTTAGGGATGAAAGAGGATGGAAGTGCGAAAAGACCACTGGAAGGTCCAAGGCAACCTACGAGAGGTGGCAGGATCAAGAGAAGACTGTCTTTAGGAAGAGAGAGTGGATAATGGTTTCAGGAGAGAATAAGGAGTTACTTCAGGGGGAGACGGAATAACTGAACAACTGCCTACATGTACATTCTGTTTATTTTTGTTTTCCAGTGTTTCAGTGTGTTGTTGTCTGGCTTGGTTTGAGGGAAGGAAGCCAGTCATCCCCAAAAGGCTGCAGAAGAGCAGAACTCTGGAAAAAATGACTGCAATTAACAGAGCAATCTTAACTTACCTTGTGTGTGATTTATCATAAGATTCGTAAACAGATTACTCTAGTGACAGGTTGCCGAGAAGCCTGTATTAAAGTTGTGGCGCAACGGGAAAAAGTGATTAACACGGCAAAGGTTCACGAACATGTATGTTTCCGGCTCTGAGCTACTGTGTGGAATGAAAATGGAAATTATGAATTCTGTAGGATGCACTGCCTTGGCAGATTTTCGTGTGAGATTATGCATGACCACACCTCTCCCACAAGTCTGCACAGGCTTAGGAATTTTCTTATTAAGCTTGTTATACAATCTGCATTTTAGCAAGGGCATACAAATGAATGTAAAGAATATTCCCAGGCATATTAACCTTGATCTATAATTATGGGTCCCCCTTCACTGGGTTAGGGCCAAATTATTTTTTCTTGTCTGTAGTGTTAAGGAGGAAAGCATTGCTTTATGCTTATTGTAATTAAAGCCATCTTTCGTAAACCAGTTTTAGATTGATCTCACATAAATTATAAGCTAGATTCAATTATGAAGCCATTAACACACTTTACATAAACAGAAAATAAAAAGCAGGTTCTGTGTGAAGATAGGAGATTTAACATGTACTTCTACCTTCTCACCTTCCTGAGACCCCACTAACACAACCAGTGAAGGGATGTTTTCAGGCTTAAACCCAAAACATGGAGAGAGCTGCAGAAGGGATCGTTTTGGAAGCTGGAAAGCAGATGAATACATAGTGATAGAATAAGCAGGGCTGAGAAAGTTGAATTCAATCAAGCAGTAGAGAAAACTAGGAATTAATCTGATTTACAGAAAACCAAAGACTTAGAAACTAATGGCGGCAGGTCTTCGTGGAAGTGAAAATAAAAGGGGTATAGATTTAATAAGGAGCGTTGTTGGGAAGTCTGTTTTAGAAAGAATTGGATCCCCAGATCCAAGCAGCATCCCAGAAACTGACCTTTCCTTCACTGGCAAAGAATGATGGTTTATTTTCATAATGAAGTAAAATAGATGGTCTGCATGGAAGAATACCAGTGCAGTTGAAGGCGAGGGAGCTGTACTAACAACAGGGGAATAAATGAATGTATGTGTATTTGCTTTGGAGACATAACATGCCAAATCCATCTTTCTCAGTTCTGAGTCCAGGACACTGAAAGCTAGACCTTCACCCTCCTGGCAGGAGACTGAACGAGTCTTCTCTGGGATATATGACTAGTCCATGAAGAAAGACATGACATTAGAAAAATACTGACATCAGAAATCTCCCCATTAAACGGCCCAGTCTGATGCTCATATAGGAAAATTCACATCAGACCAGCCCATCTCCCACATCCTCAGAGCTTCCAGTCAGTATTTTAGTATCACACTCTTAAGTGTTGTCAAATATGAAGACAATGCATGAGGTATCTGCGGAAAGCTAACCTGGAAGATAGAAAATAAAATAAAGAGAAAAAAGTAATGTTGAAGAAATAAAGATCAAATAAATGTTAAAAACATCACAGAGAGAAGTAACTGTAACTATGAAATAAGAACAGAATTCTACCCCCAAATAAATGAACAAACAAGTAAATAAATGGAATGTTCCAAAAACATAAAGAAGGTCTTGAAAATTAAATACAATAGCAGAAATAAAAATCTTTATAGAAAGGTTAAAATATAAAGTGGAGGAATTTTATCAGCAAAAAGAAAAGAAGACGGAAAATAGGAGATAAAAAAATTAGGAAACTGATCATGGAAAATCAGCATTAAAAAAGAGGAAAAGATAGAGAAGATGGAAAGGAGGAGATACTTAATAATCTGAATTTCCAGACCAAAAGATTTACCAAGTGAAAACAGATTCACAATGGTACAACATTGTGAAATTTCAAACATTTAGGGCAAGGAGAAGATCCTGCAAGATTGTAAAGAGGAAAAAAAAAAATCCAGATCATATACATAGGATCAGTAATTAGTGAGAACAAAAATGTTCCCCCGAACGTGGTAAAGGTGATTGTTCTATGGTCATGTTAACAAATGGCCATTTAAATGGTTTTAAACTCACTTAACTCAATCAAAAGCAACACCCACAGATGAACATGCCTTTGCAAACCAACCAATCAGCATGAGTTGCTCACTTCTGACCACTGGCCCATTAGGGATGGACTCACTCCAATAAAAACACCCAAGGAACTGTGATTCTGCAGATGGCAACCCACTGAAGCCTGTGAGAGTCCACCAGTCCCTGAACTCTGTGCTTTCCCCAAAGCCCCAGACAAGCTTAACAGTCTGCCTTGCTTGGAGAGACTGTGCCTGAGCAGCATAGCTCTCCTTTACTATAGCAAGCACTAAATTCAGCTTTGTTCTTTTATTTCAGATATTGAGTGGTGGTCTTATCAACATTTGACATAGAATTTTAATTTCTGAACAGGAGCACTGGAAGCTACAAAGCAATGGAGAAAGGCTTTCAAAATTCTGAAGGAAAATAGTTAACAACTTAGAGTCTACACCCAACCAAACTATCATTTACATATGAAAATTTCTTTAAAAATACATTTTTAGACATGCAAGATCTTAAACAATTTACTTATCATATACCCTTTCTTGGGAAGTCACTGGATGAAACCAAGCAAGAGGAAGATGTGGGTTACGGTAAACAGGAGATCCAATATAGGAAAAAAGCAAAAGACAGTCCAAGGACCGTGGTCAAGAGAGTCCCAGGATAGTATTTATACCCCACAGCAAACCAACCCATGTTGCAGCTTGTATCAGCTACCTAGTGCTGCATAACAAATCAATCCAAAATGCAGTGGCTTAAAACAAACCATTAAGCTCACACATTCCTGGCATTTCTTCTGGCTGATCCTAGCTAGGGTCATTCACGCATCTGTGGTCTGTTGGCAGGTTAGCTGGGGTTGATTGTTTCCAGATGGCCACACTCACATGTCTGACAAGTGGTGGTGGCGGTTGGAGCCACCGTGGTGACTGGGCTATATTTCTCTCCTTATCCAGCAGGTAAACCTTACTCTTCACATGGCAGCAGGACTCCAAGAGCCCAAAGCACAAGGACTTTTCCAACTACTGTGCCATGCTTGTTAACATTTCATTGGCCAAAGCAAATCACGTGGTCAAGTTCAGAATTGAAGTGGAGAGTGTACTTAAAGGTGCAGAGCAAAGGAACATGGCTACAAGAAAGGGAATTGTTAGACATTTCTGTTAGCAATCTACCACAGAGCTTAGCAGAAGTTTCTAGGAGAAAATTCTTTAAGAAAATGAAATTTGTAAAATGTAACTGATGTGTCTGAACATGCTGAGAGAAGATTTAGACAACTGTTAAAGATTTTGGTGTTGAATTCATGACAAATATAAAGATAACTAAGCAAAGGAAGAAAATAGGCCATTATTAACTCTGAGGATAACAATGTTGTTAGCAAATAAAACTAACCATAATTTACAACAGATTTAGTGGTCATTAGTGTTTAATTAGTCGTAAATCAGCCAGTTAACACTGAATATTGAACTAATGAAAATTACAATTTGACCGAATTATGAGAAAAAAGAGTACAAAAAGTGAGGACAGGTAGTGGGGCAGGAAGGATAAAAGAGAGCTGAGTCCTACTCTTCCATTCCTCTCCCTGAATGGAAAATCAAGATATCTTATCTAAAACTGGAAAGTCAAGAAGTAGCAGTGCAAAAATGTTTTCTAGCAAAATGGAGGCAAATACCAAAGTAATCAGGTGAAAGAGGTGAAACTGGTGCCTCTGGGAAGGAGTAAATGGTATGTGAGGGGACGGGGACCTGCTGTGTTTCACAAAAGGCCACAGAGAAATATTTGTCTTTCAAATTATGTGCATGTTAATTTAAGTACAAGTCACAACCGAAAGAAAAAAGGCAGAGAAGAAAGTGATCGGTGTATTTAATCCAGACTGATACGCAATAGTGTCTGTCTAACATCAAGTGACAAAAAGCAAAATGCAGAATAGTTTGTATACTAAGCTATTATTTGCATTTTAAAAAGGGAAGGAGTGGCAAATATAAATATAGGCTTGTATCTGCACAGAAAAATTCATCAGGAAGTTCTGTTGAGTTTACCTTCAAAATAAATCCCCATTCTGGGAATTCCCTGGTGGTCCAGCGGTTAGGACTCCACGCTGCAGCGGGTGCGGGTTCAATCCCCCGTCGGGGAACTGAGATCCTGTGGGCAGAGGGGCAAAAAAAAAAAAAAAAAAAAAAAATCCTGATTCCATCCGTATCTCACCCCTCTGTTGCTCTAATCCTAGGAAAGCCATCATCTCTTGCCTACACTAGGTCAGCAGCCTTCTCGTTGCTTCGGTCTGGTCACCACACAGTAGCCCAAGGCATCCGGTTAAAAGAGAAATTAAATGACATCATCCCCCTCACCCTCCCTGCCCCGTTCAAAACCTTTCAAGTTTTCTTCATCAGGTCAAATAAAACCAAACTCCTCACCAGGTCTCCACAACTTCCTGTGATCCGGTTCTGACCTCATGCTCGTCCTGTTCTAGCTCATTCTTACTACAACTCATGGTCCCTCTGCCTAGAGTGCTTTTCACAGATACTGAGGCTGGCCTGTCACCCAGATCTCTGCTCAGATGTCAGCTCCTCAGAGGGACCTTTCCTGGTTCCTGTCTCTGTACTCTCCCTCCCCCTTCATCACCTACCTGTCCTTGTCTCTCACCTCAACCTGACTTACTTGTCTTCATAGCACTGATCACCACCTGACATTTAATTGTGTATTGAATGTTTAGTTGTTTATTAGCTCTCTCCCCTAACAGCAGGTACAGTCCCGTGAGGGAAGACCCCGAGTACTGAAAACAGGGCCTGGTCCATAGTAGCTATTAATACATCTCCTTTGAATAAATTAATATACAATGAAAAATACAGGAGAAAACCCCCCCAACTATTTATAGTGGCTGCTTTGAGGAAGGGAACTGGGATCTTGGGTGTCAGCGGTGAGAGAACAAGAGAGAAGGTCTTGTCACTTACCCATGGCCTTTAACTCCTCCAGCACCCAGGGTCCAGACAGCACACCAAGGTGGTGCTCTAGGGTAAAGAAGGAAAATGTGAGAACATCCGTTTAGATATACTTTTTTCCTAAAAGAAAGAAGGCATTATTAACATTCAATTCATACATTTTGAGTACATGTATATAATTTATAAATTATATTCTGAATTGCATGTTCAACATATTTTTATTGACTAGGGTATAAAACTTAAAAGTTTGGTCTGTAGGTTTGAGATAAAGCAGATGTGTTTGATGTGTCTCATACCGTTTTAAAATTGTTTGAATCAACATTAAAATCCAGAGATTTCACATAAAATCCCAGATGTCTGGGTTGTTTGAGAAACCAGAGTTGCTGGCAATACGGGTCCTTTGATTCCCTCGGGCGATGTGGGCACAGACCCATTGAAAAGGCAAGTGGATCCCTGCTCACTGAGGTTTTTTTCCCTGTTGGCTTCCTGTAGGTTTTCAGATTCAGCTCACCTCACTCCCTGCAGGCATTTTACTTTACGACCCTTTTCTGACTGCTTCTCAATCTCAGCCAAATCATTTTTATCTGATAGTGAAAGTGCTGAAATTCGCTAATAATCAACTTAAAACAAAACAAAAATACTGAGCTCAGAGCTATCCCTGTTTTTACACTACACTTACTCTTGCAATCTGCTGAGTAATGGGGGGCAGAGCAGGTGCTGGCACAACCATGATTAACTGAGGGTGTGTCCCTGTGAATCACAGTTGCTGGGATGCGGGCCGGCTGAGAGCAGGCTGAGAACCGCTGTTCTGTAGTCTGCAATTTCTCAATTATATACAGTCCTTCTTTGTTATATATGTAGCTACATCTCCATAGAAACCTCTTGTAAGGACTACTGAGTGTATAGTACTTCTGAGTTCCTCAGAGTATCAAGTATTAAGGATATTTAATAAAGGCTTGTTGGTTAAGTGATTAACATAAAAAAAACCCATGGATACTGACAGTGCTTATAACTTATATCACCATGGTTTGCATAGTTAAATATATAGAGATAGTAAGAGTGCACACACACACACACACACACACACACACACACATTTAGTAAAAGCAGGAAGAATGAATGTCTCAATCGTTTTTGTTTCCCCATAGTACCTAGGGAAGTGGCTTTGATATAATAACTGGATGAATGGATGGATAAATGAATGAATAAAGTTTACAATATCCACCTTGATCATAATCATAGATACTGTTGATTAAGCATTATCTGTGGACTGGCCACTGAGCTAAGTCCTTAACATCATTCTCTCATTTAATCCTCACAATCATTACATATGGCCAGTTTTTTCTTTTAATACTATAAAAAAATAAAATAAGCCTTAGAAAAGTGAAATAAGTAGTCCAGAGCCACACACTACTAACCGGCAGATCCAGGATTCAAACCCAGGGCTTCCAAAAGCCAGTGGTCTTTACTAAGCAATACCAACAACAAACAAACCAACCAACACTCTGGGTGAGAAAATGAGATGCTGAAATTTCTCCAGTAAAATATTCTCATCCAGTGACGTGGTTGTCACTGAAAATAAATTCTAAAAATCAGCATATTCTGCAGGAGCAGAAGTTAAACATGTCTTTAGCCAATTAATAGATGGGGAAAAACACAGGACATTCAGTGTAGAGCTCAGGATAAGTACATGACTAAGGGAAGCTGAAACCTTGAAAAATAGTAGACAATTGGAAATTACTTGTTACAAAAATGGGTAGTTGCTTCTTGGCCACAACTTCTATTTATTACAGATAAAAAGTAGTGACAACCAATTTTTTTTTTTTTTAAATATAAGATCAAAATTCCAGTTTGTCATCCAACAGGAACATTTCCTTCACGAGAAAGGCGCCATTGGGCTGAAGGGACATAAACAGTTTGAAGGCTTCGGTTCCACACCCAAGGGGTTTACCATACACTAGAGATGCTGAGAAGTCTACCTACACGTGGCTGGCAAAGAACACTAGGGCAAGTGAGGCCCAAGCTGGAGGGTCCTGCCAGCCAGGCTGAGGATGTTGGACAGATGGCTGTCACTTAGGATTCAAGGGTTAAGAGGCCACTCTCTGCCCAGGCTGCACACAGCACCACACTCTGTGTGTTCACCATGGAGAAAAAGAGATGTGGTAACCAGAGTCCTTCACGAGATAAGATAAAAACCTTAAGTAAATTAAGTGGAATTGTTCTGAACATGATAAAACAAGGGGTTTAGATGACAGAGGGTGAGGCAGCTGCTGACTAAGAAGAGATCTACATATTTCTCCATCGGAAAAGGCAGTTCAAGGCAGCTTGTTTAATGGAAAGGAAAATATATTAGATGGAAAGCTGTGTCTGGTATGTGTGTGTGTGTGCAGAATTATAAACGAAAAATCCAAGAAAAACTCCTAAGTTGGCTGGTAGACCATTCATGGGTGATGTAAAGGAAGTTTTTTATTTACTTTTTAAATTTTTCTCTCTAATAGAACAAATAATACATGAATATACTTTCCTTGTAAAATTATAAAAGTTACAGGTCAAAATAAAGTCCCTTTTGGCTATCTCTCAACTGAATCCTGCCCAAATCCCTACACCTCCTCAAATGATCCTTTTCTGAAATTTGAAGTGCAAGCACATGTGGTATTTGAGCATGATGAAAAAAAAAAAGAAAGGAGAAAAAGCTTGCAGTAATAGTAACACTAACTCCCTCTTATTAAGCAGGTGCTATGCTAGATAGTTTACATATAAATTATTAGCTCATTCAGCAAATGTTCTGTGAGCAACTAAATGCCAAGGACTAGGAATACAACAATGACCTCAAAGAATCTGCAGTCACCTCCTAGCCTGGTGTCCTTTCCACCATATACTGATAAAGAAAGCAAGACTCCGAGAGATTAAGCAACTCACCCAAGGTTGCCGTGAGATAAGCGGTAATACTGGGGTTCGAATCCTGGCCTGTATGTCTTCAAAGACTGACCCTCTCTCTTCCACTACCACTCAACTGTTTTCAAACTGTTTTAAAAGCAATAGTCTTTTAAACTGTTTTTAATGAAAACAGAATAACTTTATCACATCACAGCTCAATGCAGGAAAAAGATAAAAGTGGCAGCACATTGGTTCATTCAGTGGCCTACCTGTAAAAATAAATGTGTTCCTATCAAGAGGACTAGATGAAATTTCTTATGGCCTGATACCTCAAAGCCCCAAGTCTGTTGTTAAGCAGCTTTAGGGACAGCTAGTAAACATTCAAGTTGATCAAGATCCTCAGGGCTAGTGAATTCCAAACCTGAAAGTGCCTGGGAATCACAGATTCCTGTCGCTCTCCCACTACTTATGAGCCCTAATCTAATACAACTCGTGTCTCCATAAGAAGAGCAAATTAGGACAAACACACAGAGAGGGAAGACCATGTGAGGAAACGGAGAGAAGATGGCCATCTACAAGCCAAAGAGAGGTCTCAGAAGAAACCTGTCCTGCTAATATCCTGATCTCAAACTTCCAACCTCCAGAATTGTGAGAAGATTAATTTCTGTTGTTTAAGCCACTCAGTCATGGTACTTTGTCATAGTAGCCCTAGCAAATTAACACAGGCAGTATCTGGTATTATTTGCCATTTGAATGCAGAAGAATTAACTGATTCTGTAAGAGAAGAATGAGATAAAGGGGGCAATAGAATAAAAACAAGAAGATGAATTTCACTTTCATCAATTTCAATTTCAGAAAATGGTGAAGATAAAAATAAATGAATAATGGGACTTCCCTGGTGGCACAGTGGTTAAGAATCTGCCTGCCCATGCAGGGGACACGGGTTCGATCCCTGGTCTGAGAAGATCCCACATGCCGCAGAGCAACTAAGCCCATGTGCCACAACTACTGAGCCTGAGCTCTAGAGTGCGCAAGCCACAACTACTGCGCCTGTGTGCCACAGCTACTGAAGCCTGCGTGCCTAGAGTCTGTGCTCTGCAACAAGAGAAGCCACTGCAATGAGAAGCCCGAGCACTGCAATGAAGAGTAGCCCCTGCTCGCTGCAACTAGAGAAAGCCCGCACGCAGCAACAAAGAACCAACGCAGCCAAAAATAAATAAATGAAAAAATAAATTTATTTTTAAAAAATGAATAAGAATGGGGACTTCCCTGGTGGTCCAGTGGTTAAGGCTCCACGCTTCCAATGCAGGGGGTGCCGGTGTGATTCCTGGTTGGGGAACTAAGATCCCACCTACCATGCAGTGTGGCACAAAAAAAAAAAAAAAAGAAAGAAAAGAAAAAGTGGACGATTGCCAAAACAAACCTTTGTTGAGGAAACAGTACCAAGATTACTTACTCTAGCAGCTTCTTGAGCTCAATGACAAAGAGGCAAGGAAAAAGTGAGAGGAAAGACTTCCAGGGAAAATATGGAGGTAAAGCACAAAGTAAATGAGAAGCATCATGGCAGGTACCAAACTATTTTAGGAAAAGGAAGTAACGTGAGTCCTGAGAGTAAAGGAATTAAAACATTAAGACTTTAAGGAAGTAAAAGGAGTTCAGAGGAAGGCTAGGGGGGCTAAAAATAAAACATATATATGGGCCAAGTGTTTTGTAAACTGGAAACAGGTCACTGAGAGAGCATTAGGTCACTCAAGGTTAGAGTCACAGTTTATGGGGATCAGAGAGCAAAGAAATAGGGTATAATTTTAAAACAAGAAGCAAAGTAATATGGGAAGAAAGACTGGGTTTGGCCATCTACACTTTCACTTTTCCTGTAGCCTCTGAGCCAATAATTTCCCCATTTTGTGCCAAGTTTGAAACCAACCAAAATAAGAAAATAACTATGAATGGAGGGAAGAAGTGATACATTTCTTTTTTTGCTATGTTGAATAGATTAGACATAATTTATCCAAGGTATAGGTTATGGGCAAGCCAGTCATCACATGGCCCCGTTTGGAGAAACCACAAAACCTGTGGCTCCTACTGAGAGAAGAGTCATGTTCCACACCATGTGACCTCTCCCACCCTTCCCTAATCCCTTAGCTCTCAGTTCTCCTACCTCAGCTGACTGGAACCAGGAAGGAGCATGTAAT